CCCCCCATCTAAGAACTTTCAGCCTCCTTCACACCAAGTATACCATAAAGTATATTTTATACAGTTGGATTTAATTTCAGAAAAGTAGATTTCAAAACAAGGCCACATTTTTCTTGCTTTACCTTGCACTCGAAGTGCGCAGTAGTCCACTGACCATTTTGGAAAATGATGTAATTATTTTATTCTATAAAACTATTTTTTATTACTATAAGAAAAGAAAATAAATTCTTTATTTTCTCTCTCTTTCTCTTAAAGATTCCTTCATTTTAAGAAAATATGAAAAAGCATAGCATTAAAATTATTAATTCATTTTTTATGTAATTGTAAATTTTATTGTTCTTTACTGTATTATGGTTTTACCATTATTATTCTATATTATGTAATAAAAATAATATTGATAACAAATCTCTTCCATCTCCACCCTATCTATGTCAATCTTAGCATTGCCCGTGGCAAAGAGCATGTTCAACGTTGCCAAATTTTCGACTTCGATTAGGCGAATGTACCTTGAATTGTGAACTCTGTGGAGAATCGGAGAAAAGCGTAGGTTTTCTCCTCTCTTTCAATCTGAGCTTCCCCCTTCAAGCGTTCAATAAAGGAACCCAAATGCGAGGATTTACGTAGGTGGACACTTACGTTGTCGTCCGACGGGTCCTCCACCGTGCTGGCCTGGATGGAGTAGGCGATGAAGCAGAGGATGGCGCCGATCCACAGCAGCAGGGCGAAGCCTCCGAAGAGGTTCTTGCAGAACTTGACCCATTCGGGCGTCTGCTTGGGCGGCGTGAGGGCGTTGGGGCCATCGCGTTCCAGCACCTCCTTTGCTTTGGCATGAGTGAGACCCTACGGCAAGCACAATTCCTCAGCAAAAAATGCAATATCGCATGGATGTCAGAAAACGTTTAGACAAACTTATCGAGGAAATTATTTCAACAACAAACGTAGCATTTTGCAAATTTACTATCTGGCACAAACTCAATTTTAGTGCAAAAAGTAATCATGAAAAGCGAGATCACTTTGTTTTAATAGCCGATCACCTGGTACGAAACTTAGTGGACATCATTGTAAGAACACTTGTTTCTGTTGTGGCGAGATCAGAGTATATACGGACGAGATCTTGTGAAATTGCCTGCTTTACACGATCATGACACAAGCTAGTCGGGCGCACATTTCAGTGACTTTTGGTTTAATATAAAGTAATACCACATGGGCAAAATAACCTGTTTTATGATTGAAGTATTAATAAAACCATCGTTTGGTTGCTTATGAATTAAAATATTAGTTATCATTTGGAAGTAATGAATAAATTAAATAAAGATTACCAAAAATACATTCAATTAAAATTTTGTTTCCTTCAATTTATTAAGTAGCATAATCTTAAACGTTTTGTTAAGATACCTTTGCCTCTTGGTCGCTGGCAACAATATATTCTTTTCTCGTTTGAACATTTTAAGAGAAACTGGCTGACGTGTACGAGCCCAACCCATGTTATTAAGAAAATCTTTATTTTAGTCTAAGATTTCATTAGACCAAACAATATAGATGAAGTTTATTTTGAAGAAAATTTGTTTTAGTTCTTCACGAGTTACTACACGTTGACAACAGATTTTATCTACTCAACCTGCAATTCGTTTGCCGAAGCTAAGAGATTTTTTCTTACCCCCCCCCCCATAAGAGTTTTTCTTCAATAGGTTTGATTCTGATACCTGCCAAAACTCGCTTATTACTATACACATTATTACCTATAGAAGAATGGGAAAAAATAGTGTTTAGTCTTTTGAGTTTGCTCAGTGCAGCTCGTGAAGCAGGCTCAAGAACGAATCCCCTACGCTCGGCGGGGGCTCCAAACAAAACCCCTCGCGCCGTGATAAGCGCGGAAGCATTGATAAGGCAGCCTCCATCTGGCGTCTGTTGCGACAGGTGACGTCTGCAGGCAGAGCCAGAGTATCTCCCTAATGGAATTTTTTGCACAATCGTAATGCACTACAACTCCAATCGATTTAGGTGAATTAAACAGATCAGGCTGACGCCAGATATAAGAATGCAGAAAAAGAACAAAGATAAGAAATTACGTTGAAAAGACTGCCAGACTTTGAAAAATCACGACAAAAACACAATTTATGAAATTAAGGGTACCATACACTAGGCGTAGACGAACGTAAAATATACATAAAAATAGAACCAAAAAACAAAAACGTATGAAGTTTACTAAATGCATTATGTATAATTTACAATTATACTTATAAGAACAATAACATATATACACACTATTTTTAGTTTAAACACACCTAAAAAGCAACGAACTTTCCATTCGGTAAGGTAGCGACATTTTCCACACACACACCCTATTTCTGACCTTTCCCACCCCAGCCCTCCTTTCCCTCCAAAATAATGGGAATTCTGTTGTAAATTAATATTAAATGCACATAATGGTGTTTGCAGGTAGTCAATGGGACTACACAAAAAAAAGGGACGAGGCGAATAGGGTCGGCGTGGAAAAGTACTGAAAAGCCCAGCACCCCGCCCACAAGGCTGCGAGCGTCTGGCGTTGGAGGGGGGAGAAGGGGGAGGGGGGCGGGGCGGGGCGTTCTGAAATACCCCAGGTAAGAGGGCCTTCGTGCGTCACAAGACGTGCTTTTCCTCAACCCCTCCCCACCCCTCCCACAACTTAACCTTCCCGGAAGAAAACATTCATTGAAGCAACTTCGACACTTTATAGCTGCATGGACTCTAGTGGCGGCGATAATTTTCTGCAAGTATTTACTTTCCCAAAATTCATTCCCAATTTCCCCACTTAACAATAGGAATATTCAGAAAAATAAATCATGTGCCAGATTATCACATGTCTTACAGGAATGGTCGCTTTCATTTCACCCTCAAACGAAATCGTGCAGGGGCGAATATTTATTCCAATTCTGCAAATATTTATTGCAATTCTGTGGTGCCCTTAAAGAAAAAGATCTCTGGTATTGGCAAATATCATTTGAATTCAATATAATTTTATTTTACGTTTTCCGTTAATGTTTCAAAAGCTAAAATCAAAATTTCTATTAAATACACTGTTTAAACTTTTAAGGCAGACAAGAAAATGCAATGCCACTTGTATACTCACTGTGTCGGGGTTAGTTCCAAAACGTGTGTAGAGTTCCTCAGGGGTGATTTTGTGGTAGTCGATATCCAACTCCTGTTTCAGATCATCTAGGTTGTCTCCCTTCCGTTTCGCTTTCACATTGGTTCGACGAGACTGGAACAAGGAAAAGAAGCAACACGTGAGTAAAGGTCAGCACGCCAATGGTCTCGTGGTCAGTCACCCACGCACCTCCAACCGCACCCTCGTCACCTCGCGTTACGCGTTTGGAACCTATCGGAGCAGGCCGATCGACAGGTCACGCAGCCATCACCAAGAGGAATGTTTTTAAGTTTTTAGAGTTAAGGACGAGAATTTCAGTTAGGGACCTTGTTCATCGTTAGAGGAATCTCGATATACTGTAGCCCCACGTTGCGCTCGTACCTGAACTGGCGAAAGCATTCATAGAATTTTTTTTTTTTTAATTCGAGAAAAACACTTTGGAGCATATTTGAGTAATATTGCTTTGACATCGTTTTTGAATCTAGCTGTTTTACTTAGTTTCATTGCATTATTGTCCACATCTGCTAGAGGGTCGCTTACCAGTTATGGCTCGTGGAACGCGAGCAAATGCCGCCTCATGTAAAGGTTTCCGAGAAGTCCACCCGGTCATAAACACTTCCTGTTAATTGCAGCAATAACGACGCACTTCGTTTAATCCAACTGATCTATCACAGCACTCTACACACATTTTACACAGACTCACGGTCGGCGGCTGTCAAGAACGAACTACACACAGTACAGATGTCTCGTCAGAAAACCTTGCCAGCTTTAACGATCTCTTCTCTAACACCAACTTTTACTGATCGATGAACAAATCACATTCACAATGTTAATAACATTTTGTGAAAAAATTCTAGGCAACTCTTAGAGGTTCTTTACACAAAAGCTCAATACAATCTTATTCGAAGCTTGCAATCCCAAAATAACATCGCAATCAATATTATTGCAGAAAATTTCTTGAGAATAATCTAAGAAATTTTAAAATAAGGACGACCTTCTGTTGTAAGCTCAATTTCTGTATGGTTGGTTTCATTGCTTCGCCATGTAGCGCTGTGCCATCTAAAATTATCAAGGAGGAAATATCATGGCAAAGGCACTTCATAACAGTAGTAATAGAGGCTTTGCAATATTTGAACGCACTAACAAAACGATGCTCTTCACTGGAAATGTCTCGGCCTGCAGAAACCTCGACATACCATAAACTAATGATCGAAGAAATAAGAGAAGTCGCTCTGGCGTAATAAATGTGGACTTTGTCCCTTGTTATGAAACTACCACAACTGGCTTCGCAAAAGTGAAACAAAAAGGAAAGGATATATAATTCGAGTGTTGTAAAAACGAGATCAGACTAAATTCTTTGAGTTTAGGAAATTTACTCACAAGAAAAACGGCCAAAATATTAATTCCATTCTACAGACGTACCATGTAGTGAACAGATGTTCCATGCATAGACGTTCAATGTAACACACAATTGGACAGTTCATTGTATTGTGAACCAGACTGTAGTCAAACTTTGACTAGTCCAATGGTAAAATTTTAGTTCTTTATTTCTACGCGTAATTGTTGTATTCGTCAATCGTCGTTTAAAGTTTCATTTCCAAAAATCGCGGTAGACAATGCAAATTACTATGTTTATTAAAACCAGTACGAGAAGCAACATATCAAAACTTATTAACACTTGTGACAAATAAGTTTTTAATTTGTTTAATGTCAAGTCAGTAATTTTAATTTTTTTTTAATATTACTATGATATAGTCTCCATTTTTAATGAAACTACTATTATTTTATTTGCTTAATTTTTTGGGGTAGGATCCGAATATTAAAAATGAAGAATTGGATTTCAATTTTCAATGCGTTTGTAAAAATATTCTGATCCACTATCCACATATTATTTAGTTCATACATCGAACGCCCAGATT